ATTGATGCCCCACGAGGTGAGATCTTGCATGGAGCCCCAGACCGAGGGTGATTGACCGTCATCTTGAACTTCTTCCATTTTCTAATAATTGCGCCAACAGTTGTTGCCTTCTCACCAAGCTGCTTGCCTATTGTCCTGTAGCCCATCCCAGCCTTGTGCAAGTCTACAGTTTTATCCCTGATGTCCTTACACAGCTCTCTGGTCTTGGCCATTGTAGAGAGGTTGGAGTCTGTTTGATTGAGTGTGTGGACAGGTGTCTTTTATACAGGTAACGAGTTCAAACAGGTGCAGTTAATACAGGTAATGAGTGGAGAACAGGAGGGCTTCTTAAAAAAAAACTAACAGGTATGTGAGAGCTGGAATTCTTACTGGTTGGTAGGTGATCAAATACTTATGTCATGCAATAAAATGCAAATTAATTACTTAAAAATCATACAATGTGATTTTCTGGATCTCTCACAGTTGAAGTGTAGCTATGATAAAAATTACAGACATCTACATACTTTGTAAGTAGAAAAACCTGCAAAATCGGCAGTGTATCAAATACTTGTTCTCCCCACTGTATATATAAACTTGTTATCAGTATAAAAGACACCTGTCCACAACCTCAAACAGTCACACTCCAAACTCCACTATGGCCAAAACCAAAGAGCTGTCAAAGGACACCAGAAACAAAATTGTAGACCTGCACCAGGCTGGGAAGACTGAATCTGCAATAGGTAAGCAGCTTGGTTTGAAGAAATCAACTGTGGGAGCAATTATTAGGAAATGGAAGACATACAAGACCACTGATAATCTCACCCCGTGGGGTCAAAATGATCACAAGAACGGTGAGCAAAAATCCCAGAACCACACGGGGGGACCTAGTGAATGACCTGCAGAGAGCTGGGACCAAAGTAACAAAGCCTACCATCAGTAACACACTACGCCGCCAGGGACTCAAATCCTGCAATGCCAGACGTGTCCCCCTGCTTAAGCCAGTACATGTCCAGGCCCGTCTGAAGTTTGCTAGAGTGCATTTGGATGATCCAGAAGAGGATTGGGAGAATGTCATATGGTCAGATGAAACAAAAATATAACTTTTTGGTAAAAACTCAACTCGTCACGTTTGGAGGACAAAGAATGCTGAGTTGCATCCAAAGAACACCATACCTACTGTGAAGCATGGGGGTGGAAACATCATGCTTTGGGGCTGTTTTTCTGCAAAGGGATCAGGACGACTGATCCGTGTAAAGGAAAGAATGAATGGGGCCATGTATCGTGAGATTTTGAGTGAAAACCTCCTTCCATCAGCAAGGGCATTGAAGATGAAACGTGGCTGGGTCTTTCAGCATGACAATGATCCCAAACACACTGCCCGGGCAACGAAGGAGTGGCTTCGTAAGAAGCATTTCATGGTCCAGGAGTGGCCTAGCCAGTCTCCAGATCTCAACCCCATAGAAAATCTTTGGAGGGAGTTGAAAGTCTGTGTTGCCCAGCAACAGCCCCAAAACATCACTGCTCTAGAGGAGATCTGCATGGAGGAATGGGCCAAAATACCATCAACAGTGTGTGAAAACCTTGTGAAGACTTACAGAAAACGTTTGACCTGTGTCATTGCCAACAAAGGGTATATAACAAAGTATTGAGAAACTTATTGACCAAATACTTATTTTCCACCATAATTTGCAAATAAATTCATTAAAAATCCTACAATGTGATTTTCTGGAGAAAAAAAATCTAATCTTGTCTGTCATAGTTGACATGTACCTATGATGAAAATTACAGGCCTCTCTCATCTTTTTAATTGGGAGAACTTGCACAATTGGTGGCTGACTAAATACTTTTTTCCCCACTGTATATATATATTTATATATATATACAGTGAGGGAAAAAAGTATTTGATCCCCTGCTGATTTTGAACGTTTGCCCACTGACAAAGACATGATCAGTCTATAATTTTAATGGTAGGTATATTTGAACAGTGAGAGACAGAAAAACAACAACAAAATCCAGAAAAACGCATGTCAAAAATGTTATAAATTGATTTGCATTTTAATGAGGGAAATAAGTATTTGACCCCTCTGCAAAACATGACTTAGTACTTGGTGGCAAAACCCTTGTTGGCAATCACAGAGGTCAGACGTTTCTTGTAGTTGGCCACCAGGTTTGCACACATCTCAGGAGAGATTTTGTTCCACTCCTCTTTGCAGATCTTCTCCAAGTCATTAAGGTTTCGAGGCTAACGTTTGGCAACTCGAACCTTCAGCTCCCTCCACAGATGATCTATGGGATTAAGGTCTGGAGACTGGCTAGGCCACTCCAGGACCTTAATGTGCTTCTTCTTGAGCCACTCCTTTGTTGCCTTGGCCGTGTGTTTTGGGTCATTGTCATGCTGGAATACCCATCCACGACCCATTTTCAATGCCCTGGCTGAGGGAAGGAGGTTCTCACCCAAGATTTGACGGTACATGGCCCTGTCCATCGTCCCTTTGATGCGGTGAAGTTGTCCTGTCCCCTTAGCAGAAAAACACCCCCAAAGCACAATGTTTCCACCTCCATGTTTGACGGTGGGGATGGTGTTCTTGGGGTTTTAGGCAGCATTCCTTCTCCTCCAAACACAGCGTGTTGAGTTGATGCCAAAGAGCTCGATTTTGGTCTCATCTGACCACAACACTTTCACTCAGTTCTCCTCTGAATCAATCAGATGTTCATTGGCTAACTTCAGACGGCCCTGTATATGTGCTTTCTTGAGCAGGCGGAACTTGCAGGATTTCAGTCCTTCACGGCTTAGTGCGTTACCAATTGTTTTCTTGGTGACTATGGTCCCAGCTGCCTTGAGATCATTGACAAGATCCTCCCGTGTTGTTCTGGGCTGATTCCTCACCGTTCTCATGATCATTGCAACTCCATGAGGTGAGATCTTGCATGGAGCCCCAGGCTGAGGGAGATCGACAGTTCTTTTGTGTTTCTTCCATTTCCGAATAATCACACCTACTGTTGTCACCTCTCACCAAGCTGCTTGGCGATGGTCTTGTAGCCCATTCCAGCCTTGTGTAGGTCTACAATCTTGTCCCTGACATCCTTGGAGAGCTCTTTGGTCTTGGCCATGGTGGAGAGTTTGGAATCTGATTGATTGATTGCTTCTGTGATTGAACATTGCTATGTTTCAACAGTGAGATAACTAGTAGGAAGTATCCTAATGTTGGACAAATCTGCTGGCACAAACAGACTGTCTTTGTGGCTCCAACACACATGGTAGTTAATGGTTAACTCTACAGTATGTGAGAATGTCCAGAGATGAGTTTTTCCTTGGAGCAGGTACACATAGAGCAGAACGAGGACAGCGTTATACTTTCTGCACTACAGGAACTTTATGTTACCTTGGCATTTACACTATCAGCATTTATAAACATTATCAATGTTATCCGCTAGGACACTTTGAGACTAAAAGGGTAACTAATGCAAAAATTAAATGTTGCGATTTGTGACATCACAGTTTGGGTTAACCCTCTTCTTGTTGCAGTTAAGGCCAGGGTAATCACTTACAAGTCACTGTTGATCTAATAAGCTTTTTTCATAAATGTAGCTGGTGTGGAGTTGTGCTTATAAAACTAGATGTTCCTAAATCCATACCAGCCCACTTATCACTTGTTGTGGTTCCTAGTTTTGATGTTGCTAAACGTGTAATGTTTATATTTTAGTCAAGTTTCAACCACTGAGTCTTATATGGGCAGAATGTTCTGATAAGTGTGCAGGTATTCTTCTCTCTTGTCACATAATATTTCAGACACTTTGCACCTGTTAAATGTACTGGATGTGCCTATGCTACTGTCACCATTTTAGGTAATCATCCCCCCAGGTCTGGGTGAAAACGACAAACCATGTCGGGCCAGTTTCAGTTCAAAGTGCTTCATCTTTAGAGTGGACAAGAGACACCTCCACAGAGACAGAGCTCTGGGCAAAGGTAACATCGAAACAAGCAGTGGCATCCACTACAGACACTACAATAAGAATAACCAATCATAACTTTTATAAAATAGTATTTCAACTTCACAGAAGTAGACTTGATAGAACTCAAAGCCATTATTTTAATCACACAGAGAATGCACATGGTAAGAGTGAAACGAACATGAGTGGTGGTGTTTGAATGAGTTCAGGGTTTGAATGTTATGGATATACTGCCTCATTGGTGGAAATCATGTTTATGGTCTAACAGGTCTGCTAGACCATTGAGAGGAACTTCGTCCTCATTTAACAGATAAAAATGGAAGGAGGGAAGGGATTATTCAAATATATCTATTTCAATTCAGAAGTCCTCATCAACGATAAAGCCTACTCAGTCATCATCTCATGTCAAGGTCTGAGTAGTCCACCATGGCATAGTCGTATCCCTCAGCTATCCACTACTCTGCTTTACTCTATGTTTTACAGTGGATCTTTCTGGCTGTGAAGGCCATGGAGTTCAGCTCCTCAGATGTCCACTTCAAGGTGGTGTCAGATGGGGAGGTCAGAGTTCACAGAGATTTGAGACTGGGGTACAAACCCAGACACTTCATGGTCTACCTTCTGGGGTCAATAAATTCCTTTAACCCTGAGGGTTGTCATCATGGTGATCATCATCACATTTACATTTAGGTCATTTAGCAGACGCTCTTATCCAGATGACTTACAGGAGCAATTAGGGTTAAGTGTCTTGTTCAATGGCACAGACAGATTTTTCACTTAGTTGGCTCAGGGATTCGTACCAGCAACCTTTCAGTTACTGGTCCAATGTGCTTAACCACCTGCCGCCCATCACCATGCAATGGTGGGCTGATTGCCTGGTCCAGTTCAGGTGGGAATTTTTATGTTAGTAAAATGTTTATGTGTATGTGGTGTCTTGTTGTCACCTGACATGCTAGGCGTGGTGCTGTTGCAGATAATATTTTCCCCAGTTTATAGATACATTACTGCTTAATGAGATATGTACACAAACATCATCTCTCAGGGTGAGCCCTTCCCAGCTGTCCCTGTGCTAGAGTTCCCACAATCCCGTGCGAACCAGAGGAGGAGGAAGGAGGAAGAGGGATTGGGTCATCCCTCCAATCAATGTAGCCGAGAATGTCAGGAGCCCCTTCCCCAGTCCTATAGTACAGGTATGTGTCTGTTACTGTACAAACACACACACTCACACACACGCACATACACACATACACACACAGGTACCTCCTCAACGTATTATTGACTGCTTCATGTTTCCTGTGTTGTTCAGATCAGGTCCAGTAATGATAACGCAGTGAAGATGCTTTATAAGATCACAGGCCAGGGGGCAGACCAGCCTCCAGTTGGCCGATTCAAGATCGAGAGGAACACTGGTTGGCTGTCTGTCACGGAACCCTTGGACCGGGAGCATGTTAGATATTACTTGTTAGATATTACTGCACTGTCAGAGCTAGAAGCACAAGCATTTCGCTGCACCCGCAATAACATCTGCTAAACACGTGTGTGTGACCAATAACATTTGATTTGATTTGAAATACACTGTACGGTAACACCATGGCAAACGTTTACTGTCTGTTATGGGAAGACAAAAGGGAGGAATCCCATTGAGTTTCATCACTGTGACAATATTGTATGTGACTGATGTAGTGTACTGACTGTGTAGACAATCAGAGTATGAGTGATTTACAGTCGTGGTGAAAAGTTTTGAGAATTACACAATTCAATTTTCACAAAGTCTGCTGCCTCAGTTTTTATGATGGCAATTTGCATATACTCCAGAATGTTATGAAGAGTGATCAGATAAATTGCAATTAAAAGTGATAACTAAGTGGCTCGGGAACAAAACATCTACATTTTGGGTCCATGGCCAGGAAACTCCCCAGACCTTAATCCCATTGAGAACTTGTGGTCAATCCTCAAGAGGCGGGTGGACAAACAAAAACCCACAAATTCTGACAAGCTCCAAGCATTGATTATGCAAGATGGGCTGCCATCAGTCAGGATGTGGCCCAGAAGCTAATTGACAGCATGCCGTGGCGGATTGCAGAGGTCTTGAAAAAGAAGGGTAAACACTGCAAATATTGACTCTTTGCATTAACTTAATGTAATTGTCAATAAAAGCCTTTGACACTTAAGGAACGCTTGTAATTATACTTCAGTATACCATAGTAACAGCTGACAAAAATATCTAAAAACACTGAAGCAGCAAACTTTGTGAAGACCAATACTTGTGTCATTCTCAAAACTTTTGACCACGACTGTAGTGTTAGGACCAGCAGACTTACTTACAGTATACCAATTCACGTAGCATGGACCTGTAGATCTTTCTCTAAAGTTTGACGGATGTATCCGTTAGATCTATGCCCATGCCAAAGCAGAGGGGATGGGTCTGTCTGAAGAGCCTACGGAGATCATCATCAACGTCATCGACATGAACGACAATAAACCACACTTTAGCCACAATCCCTTTCTAGGATGTGTCCCCAAGGCAGCAGAGATAGGTACAGTTGAGTTTGAATTTCGTATGAGCTAAAAAAGCTCCACATTCACAAACACCAAACACAATGACTCACCTCTGTAGGATATGAGTTTATGCCACAGATGCAGATGAGCCTGGTCAGGACAGTTCTGATATCCTCTACAGCATCCGCAGCCAGGATCCAGCCCTACCCAGCAACCTCTTCTTTATAAACCCTGTTACTGGAGACACACAGGTGGCTGCCCCAGGCCTGGACAGAGAGGCGTGTGTGTGACTGTGAGAGTGAGTGCGTGAGTGTGTGTGTGACTATCTGTCCATCTCTTTGTATATCCAGACCCATCAGTAGCACATACTGGGGATTGAGGCAACTGATAATGCAGGGAACGGCCTGGTAACTACCTGCCAGGTCCTCATCACTGTAGCAGACAACAACGACAATGCACCACAATTCAAACAAACAACAGTATATCTAAGCTACTATAACATAACTATTGCTGTATAAGTATTACTATATTATTAATTCATATAATTAACTCCCGAGTGGCGCAGTGGTCTAAGGCACTAGAGATCCTGGTTCGAATCCAGGCTCTGTCGCAGCCATGGGAGACCCATGGGGTGGCGCACAGTTGTACAGGGTAGGGGAGGGAATGTCCGGCAGGGATGTAGCTCAGTTGGTAGAGCATGGCGTTTGCAACGCCAGGGTTGTGGGTTCGATTCCCACGGGGGCCAGTATGAAAAAAAATATATAAAAAATAATGTATGCACTTACTAACTGTAAGTCGCTCTGGATAAGAGTATCTACTAAAATATACAGTATATAACTATATCAGTGTATGACAATGCTGAGACAAGTCAATTATAATCATCGGTTTTCTGTTGTTAGTCACCCAACCTTTCTCCCATTTATTTGCCAGTACACAGCCTCAGTTCCAGAGAACCAAAAAAGTGTTAAACATATCAAAATATATTTTATATTTCAGATTCTTCAAATAGCCACCTTTTGCCTTGATGACAGCTTTGCACACTCTTGGCATTCTCTCAACCAGATTCATGAGGTAGTCACCTGGAATGCATTTCAATTAACAGGTGTGCCTTCTTAAAAGTTAATTTGTGGAATTTATTTCCTTATTAATGCGTTTGAGCCAATCAGTTGTGTTGTGACAAGGTAGGGGGGGTATACAGAAGAAAGCCATATTTGGTAAAGAACAAGTCCATATTATGGCAAGAACAGCTCAAATAAGCAAAGAGAAACGACAGTCCATCATTAATTTAAGACATGAAGGTCAGTCAATATGGACAATTTCAAGTGCAGTCTCAAAAACCATCAAGTGCTATGATGAAACAGGCTCTCATGAGGACTGCCACAGGAATGGAAGACCCAGATTTACCTCTGCTGCAGAGGATAAGTTCATCAGAGTTACCAGCCTCAGAAATTGCAGCCCAAATAAATGCGATCTGGCCGGCCTGACCTACCTATCTGGCCGGCAGGCCAGCCGGACCTAGCTATCTGGCCGGCAGGCGGGAGCTAGCTATCTGGTTGGCCGGCCGGACTAGACACCTGGCCGGCAGGCGAGATCTAGTTATCTGGTCGGCCGGCCGGACCTCTGCATCTGGCCGGCAGGCAGGAGCTAGCTATCTGGTTGGCTGGCCAGACATAGCTATCTGGCCGGATCTAGCCGTCTGGCCGGACCTAATTATGGCCGGCCGGACCGACCTAGCTTTCTGGCCGGCCGGCGGGACCTAGTTTTCTGGCCGGTGGGCCAGACTTAGCTATGTGCCAGAAAAGGTAGAAAAATATGGGTTCTTTATACGAACACTACATTCCCTGTGTACAGACACCTGGTAATCTAAAGTACCCAAAATTGCCACTAGATGTCATAATAGAACATAACATGTTATAGATGTATTTCTACTAGAACACAACACATGTACACAGGGAATGTAGTGTTCGTATAAGGAACCCATATTTTCATCCTTGCATCTCATAGAACTCTTATGTTCGCTTATTCTCTGTTTCAAGCTTCTGGATGTCTTGTCCAAGTAGATGTTGTCACAAACACAGCGTAGGATGTAAATCAATTTTTTTGTGTTGCATGTGATCAAGCCTTTATCACTGTATATTTATCCAGACCTAGGGTGTCTGAACTCAGAGTTTTATTTGGTGTTGTTGCACTGAGCACAATTGCTACAGGGGTAGTTTCCATCTCTCAGGGGAGTAAGGAGGGTTTGTTTAGAACCCGTGTTGAGGCTGGCTTGGACTAGTCTACCACGAAGATTGGTTCCCCGATTGTAGACGAATAAGGGAGGGTCCTTGAATTCCTGGCTGAGCGTTGGGTCTGAGGTGAGCATATGTCAGTGTTTCATCACTGTTTTTAATCATAAAGGCTTTGGGGTTGAATGTAGTAAAGCAAGTAACAGAGACCTCCTTAGAAGTTTTTAACCTTTTTTTTTGTATATCCTGGCGAGGTTTAAAGAACACAATTTGGTATGCCTCTTCCACACACTGGGTGGAGTAACCCCTGTCCAGAAAACGTTGTTTCATGTTGACAGCTCTATCAAACGTCTGAGCCTATAGAACTGGCTCTTGGGTAAGCCTCTTTCAAGGGCACTAGCATTAGTGCTACTTGCTAGGAGAAAAGGGTTTCTGTGGAGATATGCTCTGATGAAGGTCGACTGACTAAAAGCTCAGCTATAATTAAAATAAATTTGCATCTGACGAAGTGTGCAGAGATTTTTTCCTGTTTCTCCAGCTGGTACACCTTTGAAATGTAAATTAATTTGAAATTGTAACTTCTAACTACTACAATAAAAATGGCCGCTGGTCCACCGACCGTCGAACGTCAACTTAAAAGGTCAAGTCTATTCTATGTTCTGTATTTCTATGATTTCAATAGGTTTCCTATGGAGGATTGACAGCATAATTTAAAACAACAGATATTCCTATTCAAGTCAACATTCTCTGATGTGTGGACCTCCAACCATCTTTGTGGTACCATTTGAAAGTTGAAATGTCTATTTTATTCCCATTTTAGTACATTTATTGCTTTATTCAAGAGCATCTTGTGTCTCAATCGATGGCGGGCATAACATACAAACCTCAGATGATGTAAAATGGGTCTAAGCTACAACATATCCAAATATATATATATTTTTAATAAATTTTTTAATATACTGAACTAAAGTGTTGGTCCCATGTTTCATGAGCTGAAATAAAAGATCCCATAATTTGTCCATACGCACAAAAAGCTTATTTCTCTCAAATGTTGTGCACACATTTGTTTACATCCCTGTTAGTCAACATTTCTTCTTTGCCAAGATAATCCATCCACCTGACAGGTGTGGCAAATCAAGAAACTGATTAAACAGCATGATCATTACACAGGTGCACCTTGTGCTGGGGACAATAAAAGGCCACTCTAAAATGTGCAGTGTTGTCACACAACACAATGCCACAGATGTCTCAAGTTTTGAGGGAGCGTGCAATTGGCATGTTGACTGCAGGAATGTCCACCAGAGCTGTTGCCAGAGAATTTAATGTTCATTTCTCTACCATAAGCCTCCTCCAATGTCGTTTTAGAGAATTTAGCAGTACGTCCAAATGGCCTCACAACCGCAGACCAAGTGTAACCACGCCAGCCCAGGACCTCCACGTCCAGCTTCTTCTCCTTTTCCCTTTAGTTGGGAAAAACTCATTCTGATTGGCTGGGTCTGGCTCCCCAGTGGGTTGGCCTGGCTCCCAAGTGGGTGGGCCTATGCCCTCCCAGGCCCACCCATGGCTGCGCCCCTGCCTAGTCATGTGAAATCCATACATTAGGGCCTAATTTATTTATTTCAATTGACTGATTTCCTTATATGAACTGTAACTCAGTAAAATCGTTGAAATTGTTGCATGTTGCATTTATATTTTTGTTCAATATAGTTTGACAACTTTTAAAATTATATAAATCTCAACCATTTATCTTTTCTAGTAATGAAGACATGGATGTCTCATGGTATGGTGGGGAATGCAAAATAGGTCAACTCTGAGCACCTGTATCTCTTGAATGTTTTGGCATTCAGGTACAAAAAGTCACTTCTGAGCACTACTACAATGGCAAAATATGTATGGAAGGTTTTGTTAAAATCAAATGAGGTTCTGTCAAAAAGGTATTGAATTCAAATGGATTTACCCTAATGCTTGTTTTCATGTAAATTTGGATGGAAGATTAAAAGCCTGTCAATCTAATTTGAGTGTTTCAACTTGTAACTCAGCTGCATGAACTTCTAACGTGGCTGCATGGGATTGTCGGATTATAGTCAGTTGTGGTTTTGATGCATCCAATGGCAGTGTCTGCGATAAGGTAACGCAAAGAGCGCTTGTGGATTTGACAGCTCTAATGCAGTAACACCTCTGACACCGCCACAACAAAGCTATGAGGATGTAAATCTGATTAAATCTAGCCCCAAGTCTCTCCTTCTCTGTCACAGAGCTGGGTCCATGTTGACTGTTCACGCCTGAAGCTCCTCTGTGTGTAATACTGTCACTATATTGACAAGGTGTTCAGTACAGTAGTTGCTTTCTCTCTCCACTGTTTCCTGTAAAAATGGAACTGTTGTGTTAAATAGTTCCTACTGTAAGTTCCCTTGCCCCAATGAGGTGTAAACTAGAATGCTAGCTTCTCTCATCCTCTGTCCCAATTCTCCACTTGTGCTTTTCTGTAATGTTGGAACTACTTAGTTGACAAAATAAGTGTTTCTCTTCCCTTTTTTAAAAACTAAGTTCCTCTAGTCTATCTGCAAAAAGATGATTCTGAGATAATTGGCTTTAAAGTTCCAAACCCACATTGTTTGTTTTTATTTTATATTCTTTGGAACTTAACATTAATTGGTGTATTTTGAGTACTTTATAGGTAGAGAACATTGTACAGTACAAGGCTGTCAATAACTCAATTTAGACAAAAATGCAGATAGAACCTTATAGACCCAAGCTTTCATAGTAGCTTCTCTCGCTCCTTGTCTTGAAGCTAGGTCCAGCAGTAGCTCCTCTCTCTCCTTGTCTTGAAGCTAGGTCCAGTAGTAGCTCCTCTCTCTCCTTGTCTTGAAACTAAGTCCAGTAGTAGCTCCTCTCTCTCCTTGTCTTGAAACTAAGTCCAGTAGTAGCTCCTCTCTCTCCTTGTCTTGAAACTAAGTCCAGTAGTAGCTCCTCTTTCTTGTCTTGAAACTAAGTCCAGTAGTAGCTCCTCTTTCTTGTCTTGAAGCTAGGTCCAGTAGTAGTAGCTCCTCTTTCTTGTCTTGAAGCTAGGTCCAGTAGTACTCCTTTTATTGAGTCTCAGCAAACAGTACCCACTGGGTACAGACGTCATTTCAACGTTTAGTTTTGATTTACATTTGGTTGAGATGTCAACTAATGTGAATTCAACTTGAAATCAACAAAAAATGTCAATATGTCATTGGATTTAGGTTAAATGTTGGGTGGAAAAAAAT